AGGGGCAGGAACAGAGGGACTCAGGCAATATCACGCCCAGTATCTCCCCTGCCTCTTCAGTGGGAGGTGGTCGTAGACGGGGTTTTCCGCCCCGCGCTGCGGACCTACCCAAAACTCTAGGAAAAGTCTCGTCCGAGGAGGTAGGGGCGATGGACCAGGCTACTCCTGCGTCTGACCATGAAGACATGGAGTGGCAAACTTCAAACCGTAAATCGAAAGGGAAGAAGCCTGTGACTGCTCCCAAATAGATTATACCGATTTACCTCTTTAATCGCGAGCATTAATTTTCCTTTTCTTTTTCTTCCCTTTTTATTAATTTATTTGTGTACTTTTTTACTTAAATGAGAAACTTGCATTTTATGCAATGGAACTGTCGAGGTCTCTTACCCAACATCGATGATGTTAATTATTTTATGGATGAGCTTCGGCCAATTGCCCTTTCTTTACAAGAAGCTCATCTTCAAACACATCATGCACAAATTTTGCGACATCTTCAAGTGTTCCGCAAAGAACGTTCAAATACCAGTTCTGGTGGGGTAGCAGTGGTCGTGCAGAGTGGGGTTGCCTCCTCGGAGGTTCCTCTTGGCAGACCGCTCGAAGCTGTAGCGGTACGCCTTCTTTTAGACCGCCTCATAGCAATGGTGTCCATTTATTTGCCACCAAACGTTCCATTGCAACTGCACAAACTCCAAGGGCTTGTAGGGCAACTCCCTCAACCCTTCCTAATGTTAGGAGATTTTAATGCTCATCACTCTATGTGGGGCAGTACTCGCCTTGATTCTCGAGGCCGAGTAATTGAGCGGTTTTTATTATCATCTAACTTGTGTATTTTTAACGGGAAAGAACCTACTTTTTTTAGTTCTGCTCACAACTCATTTACATCTATTCACCTTTCTATTGCTTCACCTTCATTACTTCCATGCTTTTCATGGAAGGTTTTTAGTAACCCTCTTGGGAGCGATCACTTCCCTATCGTTTTAGGGAGTACTGTCTCTCTTCCGACTCTTTTAACGCAAATGCCTCGGTGGAAGCTAGACAAGGCAGATCGGTCCATCTTTCAATTGGAGGCACTAATCGATTCTTCTATAATCTCGAACATGAACCCAGACGAAGGAACACTGTATGTCACAGAGGTTATAATAGGCGCTGCCACACGGAGTATTCCTCAAACGTCTGGTCGTCTTCCTAAAAGATGCAAGCCTTGGTGGAATGGTGATTGTAAAACAACACGAAAGTCCCAGAACAAAGCTTGGTGCGTCTTTCGTAGATATCCAACTTCTAGGAACTTACCTGAGTTTAAGAAAAGAAGAGCTAAAACTCGCTGGACAAGACGCCAGGCGGAGGGAAGCTCCTGGAGGAAGTATTTGACGTCCTTAAGTAGCTTTGTACCTGCAAAAGAAGCGTGGGATCGGCTTAGAAAGGTTAGGGGTGAATACTTACCCTTCAGAATTCCACTTTTCTCTGCATCATCTTCAACGTCCCTGAAAGATGAAGCGAATGTTCTTGGGGAACATTTCCAAGACGTTTCTAGTTTACGCAACTGCAGTGAAGCATTTAAAAAGTTCAGTTTGACAGCAGAGAAACAACCAATCATTTTGTCTGGGGCTCGTGACGCTCCGTACAACACGCCTTTTACACTCTCTGAGCTCGAAGTGTCTCTCAGTGTAAAGAAACAATCTGCTCCTGGACCAGACAATATTCATTGTGAGATGCTGAGACACCTGTCACCTGATTCTCTAGGCAGTTTGCTGACCTTTTATAACTCATTGTGGCACTGCTCTGCTTTCCCCGAGGTTTGGAAAAGAGGACATGTAATCGCTCTTCTGAAACCTGGTGAGGATTCTTCTCAACCAACTATAGCTACCGTCCCATTGCACTCACAAACTGCTTGGGAAAAGCCTGCGAAAGAATGATTAATCGACGTCTCGTTCATTTCCTGGAGACTGAGAATGTGCTTGACATTAATCAATGTGGTTTTCGAGCTGGACGTTCCACCCTTGACCACCTAGTCTGCCTTGAAACCTCTATTAGGGAGGCATTTGTACACCGCCAGTTCTGTCTTTCTGTGTTCTTTGATCTGCAAAAGCCGTACGACACGACCTGGCGCTATGGGATCCTACGGGACCTCTATGTTTACGGTGTTCGGCGTCACATGTTGCGATGTATACAGAACTTGTTAATGGGACGTACCTTCCAAGTACGTCTGGACTCCACCTTATCGGACGTGTCTTTTCAAGAAAGTGGTGTCCCTCGGGGAGGGGTGCTGAGTGTCACCCCTTTTGCTGTTAAAATAAATAGCCTGCTTAAGGTGATACCACCGACAGTGTCTTATTCTCTGTATGTGGATGATGTGCAAATTTCAGTTTCTTGCAATCTGCATAGTTGCGAACGTCAACTGCAACTGACAATCAACAGAATGAGCAAGTGGGCAGCCGAAAATGGGTTTCGTTTCTCCCCCGACAAAACCGTGTGCGTTCCTTTTTCGCTGCGTCGAGGGTTGTCACCGGATCCTACCCTGCATCTGAATAACCTTACCATCGCGGTAAAGGAGGCGCATAAGTTTCTAGGCTTCATATTCGACAAAAAGCTCACATTCGTACCCCACCTGAAAGAACTGAAACAAAAATGCCTACGATTTTCCAATATTCTTAAGGTGCTGTCACACACTACTTGGGGGTCTGACAGACGATGTCTGCTGCGAATTTATAACTCTCTAGTGCGGTCCCGGCTGGATTACAGTGCACCGGTATATGCGTCAGCACGACCATCTGCTTCAAAGATGTTAGACCCAATCCATCACTTGGGGCTGCATCTAGCCACAGGTGCTTTTCGCACGTCGCCCGTGCTGAGTCAGTATGCTGAAACGCATCAGATGTCGCTTGAACGACGCAGACAATATCTTAGTCTCTGTTATGCCTACAAAGTTTATAGCGATCCGTACCGCCCTTCATTCTCCGCTGTGCAGACCTATGCTTCACTGCGCCTTTTTGAGAATAAGCCTAGTATTGTTCGGCCCTTGAGCCTTCGTGCTGAGAGCATGGCAAGGTCGCTGCACCTTTCCTTTGATGAGCCTGCCTTGTTGAGACAGGCCTATAGGATTGCTCCTTGGGACTTGGTGCCAATCTCATGTGATTGGTCCCTTTCAAGGTACAGCAAAATGGATGTTCCTCCTTCTGTTCTCTTGCGGGAGTTCGCAGAGCTAGAGCAGAAATATAGTGACTATCTCCACTTTTACACTGATGGCTCAAAAACATTGACTTGCGTAGGCTGTGCAGTTTGTTCTCTCGCTTTCAGTGAAGTTGGGCAACTCAACCCTCTAGCAACTATTTTTACCGCCGAATTGTCTGGTATCCTGATTGCTGTTGAATATATTCTAGAAAATAACATTAACAAAGCAGTTCTGTTTGTTGATTCCCAAAGTGCTCTCTTAGCTATTTCATCTTTAGCAGACAGCAAGAATGCTCTTGTGCAGCAGGTTCGCTTTCAGATAAACAAAGCTTTCCATCTAGGACAACTTGTAAAATTCTGCTGGGTGCCCAGTCATGTGGGCATTCCTGGTAACGAGAATGCAGACCGCCTTGCACTTTCTGCAATAAACTACACAAACGTCTTTTGGCCTGCCACATCAAGACCTCAAGCCAGCCTTAAACAAGTCAATTATTAAGTTATGGCAGCTGGATTGGGACACACAGATCGATAACAAACTCCACATTATTAAGCCCAACTTAGAAGTATGGGAGAGTTCCTCCCATAGGGACCGGCGTTCGGAAGTCCTTTTGTGCCGCTTGAGAATTGGTCATTCTCGATTGACGCACCTGCACTTGCTCTGCGGTGAAGATGTAAAGATCTGTGAAAAGTGTGGGAAAGTGTTAACTGTCTTTCACATCCTTTAGAATTGTAGATTTCTTGATCATCAGTGTCGAAGATATTTTCCTGAACTTTTCAGAAACCACCTTCCATTTCATCCTTATTTTTTGCTTGGTGATAAACCTTTGGTACCATTTGCTCGCGTTTTAAGTTTCCTACATTCAATTGGCTTTTTGCACCTGATATAGGTAGACAAGTAAGTTTAGACGTAACTGCATGCTAGGCTTTTTAAATTAACTTTCTTGGCGCAATATGGCCACACTCGCTCTTGTGCCATCAAACTTCAATCATCATCATGCTTTCAAGCTTCCCCATTCTATCCCAACTGCCAGCATCATGTTCTCGGGGAGTTTGAGCTTTCTCCGACGCATAGTTTCGTTACCCGGACCAAAAAAGATGGTCCTCGTTTTTTGAAACTCCCTGTAATATAAATAAAATGTCCATTCCAAGTAGAACACAAGTACTTGTTAACCTTTCATGGTGCCTTTATGTTCCCTTATTTTTAAACTGGTATGCATTGCCCCAGGGGTAATCAGAGGTGCATCAGTTATCTTCAGCGGTGGTGGCGAAGATTGGATAAGGTCAAGTAGCCACAGAGTAGTTATTTTACTCTCGCTGACAAACTATTTAACAGAATCAACTTGTAAGGCACTTATACTTGTATCTGTCTTCGAGCTGCCATTACTTAGAGAAATGATGAAATGATGTCACAAAAGACGATTACGCACTTTCACACAGCAAAGCACCTTTTTTTTTTTTTCTAGATTTGAGCATTGTATTTGAAGTCGAGAGTTTTGCTCTCCTCGGAAAGTACCATGAAAAAATAAATACTCCAAGCAAAGTACAAGTACATACACGGAAAATGTCCTTCAAGCACAAGTTTTTGTGAACCTACTTGAAGTACTAGTGCTTTAAGTACAATGTAGTCAAAGTGCTTCCCAACACTGAAGATATGTACATTTGATATCGCAAAAGATTTTTTTAGCGCAAAAGTCAGTCTACTGTCCCTCGAGAGTGGCCATATCAGAAAAGGATACCTGGCAGAAGTCTGTAGCATTATTTTTAGGAGCAAGGCTAGACCACCCAACAGTCAACAACCCCTTTTTGCTGATCTCGCAATCCCTGCAAAACCTTTGCTCTAGTGCAAGAAAGTTCCACGGCCACCTCGTAGATGTCGCCAAGAGTCGTAAGTTATCACAAGTACTCATCATAAGCAAACACAAGCGCGTGAACCAGGCTTTAGTTTGTTCAAATTGTTGCAGAGTCTTGGGACCATTTTCACGGCGACGGCCACCGTTTGCAAAGTTTCGTGGCGGACCCCACGTGCGTTCCCCGCACGTATGGCTCTCTTAATTTGGCGGGGATTCGGTGCATCGCAAGCGATTGCCATAGAGTTATTCCCGTTTCATTGTTCCCATTCCATTCCATAGCTCCCGAGGCGTCGGCTTGGGGCGCCAGTCGCCGTTCCGCGACCCCGAGGAGTGTCAGCTCGAGGTTGTCGGGGGAACGACCCCGGCAGGTGGAACGGGAACCATCTCCGGAGTCTTCCATGGACGACGAGGGACCCCCGGTGTCTGCGTCCAGCGTCCAGCGCCGTTCCGCAGGTTGGTGGTCACGGGCTACAACGGGTCGGCTTGCAGCCCGAAAGGGGGGCACTGAGGTTTGTCTCGAAGCGCAAAAGTGCAGCCGCGCTATGGCCTTTTTTTTCCTTGAAAACACGACCAGGCATCGCGGCAGAATTGAGTCACACGATGTCCAACTCCTACGGAGAGTTCGACGCCGTCGACACACCTTCCGGTTCTTGTACGCCCTAACGACGTGCGGGCTTTTCTGTTGTCATTCGTCGCCACTTGGAGACCGCTTTCGGTGCATGGGTGGGACGGGACGCCAAACGTACCGGCGTCGTCACGGTGCCGCGTGAAGTTGCAGTAGCTTCATTCGATTTTTCCGCACCGGTGCAAAAAAGTGCAAGGCGGTGTACTTCCGGCATGTGTCGAGATACGACCGGAAGTGCGCTCCCTTACACGTTTCTGCACCAGTGAAGGAGGTGCGGGTAGATCGAATGAAGCAGCTGTCACGCGCGTGCCGTCCACTAAGTTCTGCGTAAGCCAAATCTACCCTGTGAGATCAAATTATGTCGAGCTTTTTTGCTTCTTTTTCTTTTTTATAGGGTTAAGGATGTAAATATGTACTGGCCAGGAACGATTCCTCGTAGCCTTCGGCGACTGCATCTGACTCTCCGCAGCCACCGAGCCACGCGCGAGGTCAGAGCGAGTGTGCATCGACAGTGCGTTATCACGTGCCTCAGTCAGACATTCCAGGTCCCCTAATCTGGACACTCGGCAAAAAAGTCGGCGAGAAATCCGGCGGCTGTGATTGGACGGTCCCAAAGTCAAGTGCAACGTTGGCCAATAACAGCCGCAGGATTTCTCGCCGACTCTTTCTCAAGTGTCCAGGTTAAGGCCCCAGTTGGCTCGCCGGGGCCTTATCTTATGTCGTTTGTCAATTCGTGCCGCAGCAGTTCCCAAACGTGGATTTGCGAGACTGCCTTACCTCAAACAAAACACTAAAAGAAAAAACATTTTTTGCATTTATTTTTTTAATTTATTTTTTAGATGCGGAGCATCGCTTGCTCGGGTCTGCGTCCCGCGGCGTTGGCTTCGTAGTCCGCTCCGCACTCGCACTACGCATGCGCAACTCTCCTCCTTCCCTCTCTCCAACAGCTGCGCGTTACTCTCTCCGCTCTCTCTACCAGCTGCATGCACTTCACGTGCGTTCGCTTCTACTCACACCGCGCGCGCTTGCTCAACTCCTCCTCTAGTCTCCTCTCCTTCAAGTGTGAATATAACTAGCGGTAGCGCTGTGCGCGTTCAGTTCACCGCTGTTGACTCCACTTCACTCCGGTCTTCCGATGAAGTGTGATGGAAGCAGGGTGTCGAACCGGAACGGAAAACCAGAACCGAACCGGTATTTTTTCCAGAACTGAACCCGAACCGTTATATTGTTATCGCGATGAACCCGAACCGGAACTGAACCGGAAAAAAAATAACGGTTACCGGCTCATGTCAAAACGGTTCGGCCACGCACTGTTGACGATGAATGTGCTATCAATGCCATTTGTTTTTTAAAGTGCCGTCAACTGACACACACCTCGCTTACATATTTTTCTTCTCCACTCAGTCTTGGGAATATAAACGCTGCATCCATGAATCTTGACATAGGAGCCAGTATTGCGCTGGTCGCGGCTTGCACGGAAGAAAGAGAATTGGAAGGCTGTGCAAAAGAAAAAAAAGAAATCTCGTCACGGGATTTCATTTTCCTACAATCTCGTAAATCCTAAATGCTGCTGTGTGCTCATTTCATAACACGTTTCTAGAACGCGCGAGTTCTTGAAGCTTGCTTCCATCGGAATGAGAAAAGAAAAGGCTGTGGAGTTTGATAATAAAGCATCCGGTTTCGTATAGGCACTTAGAAGCTAACATATTTGTGAGACAGCGAACTCTTCTATTTTAAAATTTATCCTATTACGTCCTTCTGGCGTTGCGTTCGGTGAAGTGTTTTTCATATTCCGTATCTTGTTTAATGAAAACTTCTTTAAGGGTCTAATTTGAGTTACCGAAGTCTAGTTCAAATAAAGAAAGCTGTAATTTCTCCCCACTGTTCCTTCAATTCCTTACGCACCGAGGTGGCGAAATAGTTAGCGAGTTCTACTTGTAAGTGGGTTTGTAAGGAGGTCGCGGATTTTACAGCTACTGCGTCGGACCCAATTAGATGAAGTCCGAATGCGTAAACGTCGGTGAGGTAACCTTTGAGTGCACATAAAGAAACCATTCCTGGTAGAAATCCCTGAGCCTTACACTACGATGTATCCCGTTTCGTATGTGCTGATTTCAGATGTTTTGTTTGTAATTTATTTTGATGTTGCAATTTGTCATTTATAATTTCCGAACCGGTTCGCAAACCGGTTCAGCGCCCCGAACCGGTTCGGGAACCAGTTTGCGGATCAAATTAATCGAACCGGAACTGAACCGGAACAAAATAAATTTACCTGAACCGTAACCGAACCCGTATTTTTTTCGGTTCGACACACTGGATGGAAGCAACAGTCCCGTCAGTTAGTGGTTTGGCGCAAGCAAGCGTCAGCACCACCCCACGAACTAACAGCAACGCTACGGCCACTGAAGACAAAGCTGCGCAGCGAAGGGCACGCGACGCTGAGTGCAAACGCTAATAACACCGTTAATAACAATCCGCGATGCTCCGCATCACCCTATGGTTTCCCCCGCAGGGGGCACCTGTGAAAGCAGGTGTTTGGAGAGTGGCGTCTCCACGGACCCCGAGCCATGCGGGTTTGCCCGCCCACATCTGGCTGTGCGTGGCTTTCCCGTGTCTGGGGAAAAGGGCATCCTGGTGGTTGAGCCGAGCCCGGGGTAGGTTTGGACCCTTCGGGGCCCCCCGGGCGAGGCAATACACCACTTCGGCCCCCGCTTCTCATAGACGGGAGTCCTGGTAAGGCCCGGCCAGGATGATTCAGTCTAGTCGCCACTTCTACTATCCCCTCTCTACTTTCACCCTTGTCTTCTCCTCCTTTTCACTCTTCTCATTTCTCTTCTTTCCTTTTTCAACTTCTCTGGCGGCAAGGGCTAACCTTGGGTGGCGACAGACCCCTTGTCCAGAACCACACTTGGGTTTAGTTCCTGGGCAGTGCTAATAGCATAACGTTTCCAGCAAAGCCCTTTTTGTTATGGTGCGTTATCTATTCCCTTGTTGGGCTCCGTGGTGGGCGGCACACCACAGGTTCCGAACAAACTTCGCCTCTTATGGCAACCCCCCAAACCAAAACCCCCAGTTCTGGACGTGCCGCTAAGAGGCATCGTCCCGAACGAACTGTCATAGTAAAAGATAAAGACTATGAAACATTTTCCAGATTCATGGTGATTCACTCCGAGGTCCCTGATAAACCTCTCTCTAAGATGTGACCGTTTCTTGTAGCGAAGGTTCTTGACAGCCAGATTGGTGCTGATTACAAGGCAAAGAAACTGCATTCATGTGATCTTCTTGTAGAAGTTGCCAAAAAGTCCCAGAGCATTACGCTTCTGAAATTGACATCCCTAGGTGACATACAGGTAACAGTGAGCACACAGAGAACCCTCAACACCATTCGAGGGGTGATTTCAGAAGATGATCATCTTTCCAGTAGTGAAGATGAGATCTTGGAAGGCCTGTGGGCATCTAGAGTAGTGGCGGTCAAACGCATTATGACGAGGCGTGACGGTGCAGAGGTGAGAACTAAACACCTTATCCTGACGTTCGAACGTCACACGCTTCCTGCACTCGTCAAAGCTGGCTACTTGAATTGTCGTGTCAGACCGTACGTCCCGAACCCACAGCGATGCTTCCGTTGCCAGCGTTTTGGTCACGGGTCGCGCAGCTGTCGGGGGAGGGAGACATGTGCAAAGTGTGGGAGCCACGACCATGTGGCTGACGTCTGTGAAGATCCAGTTGCCTGCGCGAACTGCAAGGGTTCTCACCCTGCTTACTCTCGGTCCTGCCCGCTGTGGCGACAAGAAAAGGAGATCCTTACCTTACGAGCCAAAGAGAACCTATCGTACCCTGAAGCAAAACAAAGGTTTTCCTTCATTTCTAAAGGTACCTACTCCAACGCGGTGCGCAGGGGCCCTGCACTACGTACGGAGTCCAGGGCTACTCAGTTCTCTCTTGAGGACTTGGCAGGCCCCTCTCAGGCCCCGAAACAACCTGCGGGGAAGCAGGGTGCCCCAGGTAACGCTGGGAGCACACAGACTCCCCAGTCGATTCAGGCACGACCTCCGGCTGACCGGCAGCCTCGTGCCAGTAGCTCTTCTCAAGGTGGAGAGCGAGGCCGTCGTTCAAATCCCTCGGAGGCGGCCCGCCTTGTTTCGGAGCAACAGGGCCCACCTGCTGCTCCATCAACGTCAAAAGACGAAAGTGTGAATGTGGGAGGGTCTCGGCCTGGTACGTCGAAGACTTCTTCGACGGGGTCTGGCCGTGGCCGGAAACTCGTGGTCCAGGTCTCCGACCACGTCGGAACTGGCAAACCTGTGTCCAAGGTTCAGGATGCAGAGGGAGCTGTTGACATTGCCGACTCTTCAGCTCCTTCCTCGGATCAGGAGGACATGGAATGGCAAACTGCTAAATCAAAACAAAAAGGAAAAAAGCCGGTGGTTCCTCCTTAGTGTGTAGCACATGTAGGATTGCTTTAATTCATTTATGAAATCTTTTATCCTTTAAAATGGGCTCTGTAATTCTTCAGTGGAACTGCCGTGGTTTATTCACTAACCTTGCAGATGTTGAGTTCCTTTTAGAAGAGTATAAGGCATCTGCCTTATGCTTGCAGGAAACACACTTAAATACATCTCACACTAACTTTCTGAGACGCTATAGTGTGTTTCGTAAAGACCGCCCTAGCATGTCCATTTCTTGTGGCGGCGTTGCGGTGGTGCTTCCAAAACATATTCCATGTGCAGAGGTTCCGCTTCAGACGCCACTCGAAGCTATCGCTGTTCGTCTCTTGTTGCATAAAGCCATAACTGTATGTTCAGTGTATTTTCCACCTTCTCTTTCTCTGAAGCGACAAGATCTCGACTCTCTTTTAAGCCAGCTTCCAGAGCCCTTTCTTTTACTCGGTGATTTTAACGCACACAGTACCCTCTGGGGAAGTGATCATACAGATACACGTGGAAAGATAATCGAATCCATATTATTTTCACAGTCATTATGCATTTTTAATACTGGCCATCCTACATATTTTAGTCCTTCATCCTTGTCATCTACATGCATCGATCTTTCTATTGGCAGCGCAGATCTGCTGCCCGATTTTTCATGGTTTGTTGATCAGAATCCCCATGGAAGTGACCACTTCCCCATTATTTTAAAATGTAACGACACTCCGCAGTCTTCACCTATGCGCCATCCACGCTGGAAGTTTGAAAAAGCAGACTGGAGCCTTTTTAAGCAGTCATCACTCCTGGCCTGTTTTCGCCTCGCTTTCGATTGATGAGCTCAGCCATCTTTTAACATCCCATATTCTCACGGCAGCGTCACTCTCAATCCCTCGGTCATCTGGACAGCTCCCTAGACGACCGAAGCCATGGTGGAATGAAGACTGTAAAGAGAGTCGCAAACAGCAAAACAAAGCTTGGAGTGTTCTAAGACGTTATCCAACTCGGGACAACCTGATATCTTTCCGAAAAATGAAAGCTCGTGCTAGGTACATTCGTCGGAAAGCGAAACGCGAGAGCTGGCAAAAATATGCGTCCTCTATCAATAGTAGTACTTCTTCCAAGGAAGTATGGGACAGGATTCATAAAGTAAATGGCTCATATCATGCTTTCACTATTCCACTTCTTTCCAGAAATGGAAAATGCCCAAGCAATCTTGAAGAGCAGGACAACATCCTTGGCGAGCATTTTGAATTCATTTCCAGCTCGCAGCATTACTCGCCTGCTTTTCTGCAACATAAAAGGAAAGCTGAAAGTATGGTACTGAAAACATCTGGTGGTGAACGCGAAGCTTATAATGCCCCCTTTACCTTACACGAACTGAACATAGTGCTCCAAAACTGTAAGTCATCGGCTCCTGGTCCAGATGGTATTCATTATTATATGCTTCAACATCTCCATCCTTCCACACTTAATATTGTTTTATACCTTTTTAATCGTATTTGGTTTGAGGGCTACTTTCCATTGGACTGGAGAATGGCAACAATCATACCCATACTCAAGCTCGGTAAGGATCCATCCTGTGCGGCTAGTTATAGGCCTATCGCTTTGACTAGCTGCTTTGGAAAGACTCTTGAACGAATAATTAACAAAAGATTGATGTATTTCCTTGAACTAAATAGACATATAGATGTGAACCAATGCGGCTATCGTTCGTCTCGGTCCACTCTTGACCATTTAGTACGGCTGGAGACAGTCGTGCGTGAGGCCTTCGTTCATAGACAACATTGCCTATCTGTATTTTTTGACCTCGAAAAAGCCTACGATACAGCCTGGCGTTTTGGTACACTGAGGGACTTGTATGATATGGGTATCTGTGGTCGAATGCTTCGTACCATTGAGAGCTACCTCAGCAGGCGCACCTTTCGTGTTCAGATAGGAACAGCTTTATCTAAAGTGTTTCTCCAGGAAAATGGCGTCCCTCAGGGAGGCGTTCTTAGTGTCACTTTGTTTATTGTCAAAATGAACTCCCTTGCATTGGCTATCCCCCCATCGGTGCAATATTCACTCTATGTAGACGACCTTCAGATCTCAGTGTCGTCTTGCAATCTGTCACTGTGTGAGCGACGAATTCAGTTAACTATCAATAAGCTATCAACCTGGGCCAATCAAAATGGGTTTAAGTTTTCCTCAGATAAAACAGTTTGTGTGTGCTTTTCTCGAAAACGCGGACTACTTCCAGAACCTGTTCTTGCACTAAACAACTCCACAATTTATGTGAAGCGTGAGTACAAGTTTCTGGGTCTTACATTTGACAGCAAACTAACCTTTGGTGCCCATATTAAGAATCTAAGATTAAAAGCTTACAAATCACTTAATATTCTTAAAGTCCTGTCCTACCGATCCTGGGGTTCTGACCGGACGTGCCTTTTGAGGATATATCGCTCGATAGTGCGATCACGACTGGACTATGGCAGTATTGTTTACGGTTCAGCTAGGCCTTCCATTCTAAGAATGCTGGACCCTATTCATCATCTTGGATTGCGATTGGCGACGGGTGCCTTTCGCACGTCTCCTGTGCCAAGTCTGTATGCAGAGGCCAACGAGCTGTCTCTTGAGAAGAGAAGATTTTCTCTGGGCTTTATGTATTCCCTGAGAGTCAGGTCCAACTCTGATCACCCTGCGCGAATGGCCGTGGAAGACATGCGCTCTGAAAGGGTGTTTCAAAACAAAGCCACAATTGTGCCTCCCTTCTCTTTGAGATTGAAAAGTGCCAGTGAGAACATGGGACTCGATTGGAAGCCCCCGGTAGTGCAGTCTACTGTTGCGGGAGCACCTTGGGAGCACCCTGTCATTAAGTGTGACCTTTCACTCACGCGATACAAGAAAGCTGATACTCCTAATGGTGTGTTTCTTCAGGAATTCTTAGCACTGCAATGTCAGTATTCCGAATATGTAAGCTTCTACACAGATGGTACAAAGACGGAATCTGCTGCTGGGTGTTCCATGATTGGCCCAACAGTTCAGCTTGTTAGGCGAATCAACTCCTCTGCTTCTATTTTTACAGCGGAGCTCTATGGTCTGCTTCTTACCATAGGCTTCATACTTGATAAAAAGCTCTCTCGCTCCATCGTATACACAGACTCCCTCAGTGCATTGCATGCACTGTCTTCACTAACACCCCTCAAGCACTTCCTGCTCCTTGAACTGCGAAATAAGGTTGTTGCTGCCTCAAGACAGGGATACGAGATTGTATTTTGCTGGATTCCCAGCCACGTGGGCATTCCGGGCAATGAGGCAGCAGATTGCGCAGCAAGTACTTGTGTAAAACGAACAGTTGACCTCGACAGCATTCCTTATACAGACTACAAAGGCCTTCTCAGGCGTCACGTTAAGCGCAAATGGCAGGCTGAATGGGACCAAGAAATCGGCAACAAGTTGCACATGATCAAACCTCTTTTGAGCGAATGGCAGAGTGCACGCCACCAGGAACGCTTTTTTGAGGTTGTCCTTTGCCGGTTCAGGATTGGTCACACTCATCTGACTCATGGCTACCTCCTTCGTGGGGAAGATGCCCCCACTTGTGAGCAGTGTGACAATGCCTTAAGCATTCTTCATATTCTAGTTGAATGTCCTGCTTATCATGAAGAACGGCTTTTGTATTTTTCGCAGCTGTATCAAGAACAAGTTCCACTACACCCAGCTCTGCTCTTAAGTGATGATTCTCTTGTGACACATACTAATGTTTTCAAATTTTTAGATAGTATCGGCCTTCTACACCGATTGTAGCTTTCTTAACCTACAGATCATGCCCATCACCCTTTTACCTTTTGGTACCCCATTACCATCTTTTATCTAATCACTGGCTACTAAAGCCTCTTTTTTCTCTCCAAACCTTTTCCAGCAATAGTCTCGTTTTTGGCTCTCTATGGCCTTAGTAGCTTTTGCGCCATAAACACCAAATCAACCAACCAACCAACCAACCCCATGGTTCCCCTCGGGCAGATGGTGTAATTTTAGTTTTTAGGTTTTCTTTTTTGTTTTTCTTACTTACCTTAACATCTTTTTAGGGGCCGAACCCACGCCAGAAAGACGTCCGCCAACCCCGGCACCGGAGCCTTCAACTTCAAAGGGACCCGGCGGGAGGCAAGAGTCTACCTCTCCCAGGAGGGTAAGTGGCCCTTTCCTCGCAGTCTTTGCGTGGGCGCCGCCATCTTGAAAAATACGGGCACTAAAACCACTCTACTAGATGTGCCGAAAGTAGCGTCGAGTTATTGAGATGTTCGGGAGGAAATGGTTCCACGCATCCCGGCCGCTTCGGTACGGAGGGGCGGCGTAGACGCGGACGTCGGATGGTACCGGAGGAAGGTGCCGACGAGCCCGTGTAGCCGGCAGCTCCTTAATGCACACTGAGAGGCGGCAGAATGTCGCCCCTGAGGTCGGAGCCGCCTTCTCTTCAAACCTGCCATGCAGAAAAAAAAAATTCAGCGTTGCTTATGCCACGAAAACAAAGTCAACCAGAGTTCCAGCGACCTTTGGTCGCTGCGGAGAAAAGCGCACGTCTGCTTTCTCTCCCCTCTTTTCTGCCGCCGTTTTTATCGTCACTTTTCTCGGGACCGGTGAAGTCGGCGCTCACGATTTTTCGTGCTCTGCTCCCATCTTTACCCCCCCCCCGGTTGCACGGGCGCCGCCATCTTGAAACCGTGCGACGCGGGCGCCGAAGCCGTCGAAGGAGCTCACGAGTAGCGACGCTCGCCTGGCCGTCTCGCGGGCATCATTAATGGCACCCGGCAACAGCGACTTCCTGTGATTTTTGTACGGTGTGTGGGGCACCGTGCAATCAAACGCGTCGTTGCGTAGGTGTAAATGAACGCCATTTGCGAGTATTTAGTGCGTGGATTGTAAACAGGTTAAAAGGTATATATTTCAGGCGTCTGGGATGACTTGTACCAAATCTAAAAGACACGGGGCGCTTTCCAATTCACAATTTGAAGTTTGCAATTAGTCTTAATCGACCGAATAATTGGGCAGATCGAGAAAAATGCGGCAACTATGTTAAGACGCTTGCTAACGACGTACAGTTGGTTTTACTTCCCTGGAGGACTCCGTTTGCTTTGTTTTAAAGTTTGATGCAAGTAATCTGGGACACCCCGTACACATTGTCTCGATGTTCCGTAAAAAGCATTAAATGTAAGGGTTTTTAAGATTCCCCTCTCCCCAAAAAGGTTATTTTTAATCTCTCAGAACTGTTTTCAGCTACGGCCCCCCGCGGACCATAAATACTGCTCAAACAAACGAAAAATCGCATAATTTTAAGAGATTGTAGCAGACGGGTAACTTTTAGTTGTCGATTGCGTGCGCAAACTTCGCATTTTACTCCCACCGGGGCATCCAAAACGGTTCCCCGATCGGCGCATTTACCGCGTCCAAAGAAAAATGGTCCCTCGATTTCCGCCCGATGGCACCGCAGAAGGGCGGTGTCCCAGCGACGGTGTGTTCATTGCCACTTCAAGACCACTTTCGGTGCGCGGGCAGAGCTTACTCCGCTTTTGGCGGGACTCTCTTGCAGAGACGTAGCGCACGACAACATTCGTGCCGTCAAGGCGCAAGACGCGTGCAGAGTCTTTCCGGCAGTTTCATTGCAAAGCAGTATGCAATGCATTCTGTGTTAAGTCTGCCTTTGGCACAACAATGCAAAAAGAGCTTCTTTTTTGTGTTTTTTTGGTATTGATTTGCCGAACTGCAGAAATTCCTAGAGTTCTTTTTTTGAAGGTGCGAAATGCTTTTCAATGGAGCTCCATCAATCGGAAGATTTCGCCCATCCATCTCCCGTCAGTGCATTTCCCGCCAGGTTTAGCGGTAAAATTAATAAATGTGTAGCTTCTTTCCGAGACGACCGTTAAGTGTCTTCTAAGCAAATTTAGACGACCGCTCCTGAAATACCGCATTTCATGCAGCGTAAGACTTTAGAAGAAAAACAAATCGCCGTCAGTTTTCTTTTTAAAAATGGCGGTTGACACTTTAGCCCGGTGGAGGCCAATCGGCGGGAGCTAATCAGCGCGGTTGTCTCTCCTCTTCTGCCCAGGGCAATCGGAGGTCGAAGCATCGCACTCCACCCTGGCTCAGGGACATCCGTCGCCTCCAGAGGACCACGCGGCCCCTCATTCCGCGGCTGTCATTTGCGCGGGTGGTGAGGGAGATACTGCAGGGTTTGGCCCCCAGTCACTCCGACCGCTACTACATGCAGAGGCTCGCCTTGCCGGTGCTACAGGTGGGTCTGCCTCGTCTTTTGGTCGCCGTCGTGGCGCCCCGTCGATGTTAGCCCACATGCCGTAAAGTCCCGAGAGATAGCCCACTTAAAATAGTTAGAAAATTGGGTGGAAATGAGGCGTGGGCTAGCTTTTGGTGTGCAGTCGGGGCAAGTTGAAAAAATGCTATTTTTTGATTGTGTGTCCCTGTCAAAGTTGTTATCGCGGCAAGGGGCAATGAAGCAAAGATGACTGTACTTTCCAATCAGCAGTGTTGGCTTATGTCTCGCCATAGCTAACTAGACGCATTTACGCCACAGTCATCATTGATCCGAAACTACGATTACTAGGAGGGGGCCATCTTTCGGTGTTTCAAATGAAATAGCACCTCGAGCCAGAAATGGGGGTGGGTTACCTTTCTCGGATGGGACATCTCTTCGGATTTTACGGTAGTCCTTTTTTTCGTCAATACATGCCTATTCAGTCGTAGGTTAGGTAGGCCTGTGACTGAATCAACCTACGTGGCCTATTTAGTCGATACCACTGCTAGCCTTGGGTCTTTGGCATACGTCGCTTGGCGAAACACGACCGCACGCCGGTAGGATGCTCGTCCAGATCGAAACGGGCAGGAGAGGGGAGGATCACAAGACCCAGGAACCTTGGTTCTTGCTGTGTGAGCTTGTGCTCTCCGCTCTCCGAGCCGCCGTGCACTAAAAGACCCGACTGCCAGTCCTCCATTACGTGAAAGAGCAGCGTCTCCCCTTTCAAGAGGCGGTGCAACGATTTTCTAACTTTGGCCAAGTAATTGTGGGAATTAGTCAAGGCCAACCATAATATGAGGAGCGGGAACCCTTTCTTTCTTGTGTGCATTAGTTTTTAATCTACAAAGAGATTGATCAAGTAGAAGTGTTTCGAGTGAGTTTCGGTGTCGTCTTTGGGACCAGCAGCCTTCCCTGCACGTTGGTCGACTTTTCAAGGTCACGCTTGCCATCGTCGAGGTATCGAGGTGGGACGGCTTGCCGCGGGGAAAGACGTTAAGGTAGCGAAGGAGAGGAAACGGTTTGATTATATTCCCAAAAGTGATAGATAGCGCCGCGAAAACACGCGTACCGCGAAAAAGGTCACGCCATAGTTCCGATGACAACCACACAAAACTTCAAATTAAAAAAAAAATATGGTTTTGCTTTTTGCAATTGCAGTAGAAGATCGATGATATGAATCTCGAGGGATCGCAGGAGATATTTGTATCGTCCAAAATTCATACTAACAAAAAACAAGTCACATGACTATGTGAAACCAAAGGGGGGCTACTTCCAATTCATTGGTCACACTCCCATCTAAAGAAGTCGGTAATGTTCTTCCGAGTCTGGAATACATTTTAGCGCTCAAAAAACAGGGACAAAGAGGCGAGAAACAGACAGCACAGAGCGCACTGTGCTGTCTGTTTCTCGCCTCTTTGTCCCTGTTTTTTGAGCGCTAAAATGTATTCCAAAGTCCAAAACCAACTAGCCCAACAATCTACTCTACTGAAATTTATTTCTTCCGAGTCTTCTTTTTTTTCGATGTCACTTAAACGGCACTTTTGAAACACGGAAGAACGAGCGTACCTGTCATTCCTGGCCTTGATCTCGGGCTCACTATGCGGTGCAGCACATCGAGGGCATGCAGTGTTTCAGCAGTCGTCGGTGGCTGCTTGTCGTTAGTTTACGTCGCCGTCATCATCTCCGCTACTTGACCATCCTTCCAATGCTGTCACTTCCTCAACGATTGCCTCGGCAGTCCTTAATCCGCAAGTAGCGAGGCTGTCATTTGCGGTAATGAAATCGAAGGCCGATTTCTCATCATAAAGCGCAGGTCTCGGTCCTCAATTCTCAAGTTTTCGTCTGGTTCCGGAGGAGCAGCCACTGTAGGATTTGTGAATTCACACTTGCGAAAGCCGTTAGATAAGGGTTGATTCCACGATCAACGTCAATTCCAAACGTCATTTCTCACGTTCACTCGAGTCAGTCAGAGTTGCTGAAACTTGTTTATCGCGTGACAATAAATATAAAGCAGCAACCCTGGAGTAAGCAAACGCGAGTTACTCCAGCGAGCCAAATTCTCATCACGCGACAACACAGAGCAGCGGTGGACGTGGGTGTGTTTTCGAATTTCGGAACGCACCTACGGTTATCGGGATTGCATGGTGCGTACATAGAAAGAACTGCGAGAGAAAGGACTCAAAAAGCCTGCTACAGTTGTAGGAGTCAAGTGATGCCGTCCTGCAGGATGTGTAAAGGTTGTTGATGATCGTTCACATGATCCTCCGCGGCCGAGAAAGCATTCGGACTATCCCGAAACGTAATAGATTAGTCTTAACGAACTTCTGCCGGGAATTTCTTAAAATTCATATCTTACCGAAATTCGGACGAACCGTCGTCGTATCATCGAGATTCTACTGTATGCAGCAAATTTGCTGCATTCTGAACGAAGGCGGCACATTTTCTCCTCTTTTGCCAATAGAAACAATATGAAAAATGTGAGCCGTAAATTTTTCGACATTAAAATTGTGGGCCTGTCCCAGTTCTAACGCATCGCCTCGAATCGTTGGCATTTGACGGGCGTCACCTCTTTTCCAGGACGCGTCGGAGCAGTTCGTGACTAACTTCCTGTCTGCGAGTTACCTGTGTTCCCTCCACGCCAAGAGACAGACCCTGAGGAGGGAGGACATAATTTCCCTCCAAAACCTCCTCAAGACCTTTGGCGGGAGCCTCGCCCCGGCCTTCTGAAGCCGCCCGGTTCCTTCATACGCCGAGAGTGCTGTGTACATAGCTTAATTTTTTTGGGGGGTCAGTTCCACCCGTTATTGTGTTATTTTTATATATTGCCGCGCGCGCAGCTGGCCTAGGAGGCAGCGTGCGCGTGGCATAACGGTTATCGCACTTGCCTTCCAGGCAGAAGGCCAGGGTTCGATTCCTGGCCGCGGCTACACATTTTTGTTGACACTGTAATGTGATGTTCTGGTGAATTCGAGAACCGTCTTGCTGATTCGAGGTTAGAATGTTCTACGCGCCGAACCTTCTACGCCAAACGATCCAGAAACCCACGAGGGTTCATAAGGGATTCCGCAAGGCGAGCGGAGTCAGTTTCGCCCCAGCACTTGACTCTGCTGTCTCGCCGACTTCGACGCGACACTTTATTATTATTTTCTATTCCCTTTTTGTTTTGGGCACAAGTTCGCCACATTAAACGTTTATTTCTTCCTGTTGATTTATTGTTATTCTGGTCACCACCCGTGACATTCTGGTGGAGGTGCGGGGTACCGCATGTCCGTGCAGCGCACCCCTCCGAGTTCCCGCAGTACGAGTCCAAACCCAAGCTCCCGAGTACCCAACGAAGACACTACCGAGACCCGAGTAAGTCGCCGCATCCAGTTTCTAGACCCGGAATACGACTGCTGGCAACCAAGACCAAGCAAACCAGAAGGACGACGATGGCCAACCAGTCGGAGACCCCAGCCGCTCTTGCCGTCGTTTACCTGCCCGTCGTACCGTGGACGGCTGCTCCATTCCACGGCGAGCAGTACGAGGACGTCGAAGACTGGATTGACGAGTATGAACGCGTTGCACGCCACAACTGCTGGACCGACGAGCAGCGCCTGCACAATGTCTATTTTTCGCTTGTGGGGACCGCCAAGCGCTGGTACAAGAATCATGAGTCCTCTCTGACGTCGTGGGACATTTTCAAGACTGATCTCAAGGCTAAATTCATCAACCACCACCGCCGAGAGAGAGCCGAGGACCTACTGCGAACCAGAACCTAGGGCCCCAACGAGAGTGTCACCGGCTTCGTAGAGGACGTCCTGCGCCTGAGCGCCCGCGCCGACCCTCGGGCTACAGAAGAGAAGCTATGAATCCTCATGCAAGGCGTGAGAGAAAACATCTTTGGTGGCCTTGCACGCAGCCCTCCGACAACTGTCGAAGATTTTGTCGCCGAGGCAACAAACATAGAGCGTGCCCTGCAAGCCCGAGCCAGCCACTACAACCGAATCGCCGACACGCCTGTTGCTTCGACGCTGGCATCTTCCCGAATCGACGAGGGCCACATCCGCCCTGACAACCTTCGTGAAATTGTCCGGGAAATCGTCCGGCAAGAGCTCCGGAAAATTCTACCCGACTCTGATCGCCCCGCCTCGATCTCCATCGTCGAGGTCGTACGGGAAGAAGTGCAGAGAGCCATCCAACCAGAGGTTCCCATCAGCGTGGCAGTCCCCGAAGAACCCATGCTAACTTACGCCGCAGTGGCCCGACGGCCACCGCCTAGCTCCTACTCGCGCCAATGTCGCGCCGCCCCGACGTCAGTCTCCTGCACCGCAGCACGACCGACGCCACGACGACCATGTCCAGTACGCCTGCACGGAGCCCCGCGTACCCCGAAAGACCGACGTGTGGCGAGCGCCTGACCAACGCCCTCTGTGCTTCCACTGCGGGGAAGCAGACCACACCTACCGCCGATGCCCATACCGTCGACTCGGGCTGCGCGGGTTCCACCCGAACGACCCGCGACCCCGTTATGGTGAGTGGCCTCGGGAAATCGATGAGTACCTGCGACGACCTCAGTCCCCCGAGCCTGCGTCCCGCTGAGAGTACCGGTCGCCTTCGCCACGACGTCCAGCTTCACCGATGCACCGACCCCGACGTGAAAGCCTGTCGCCCCTCGCTCCACGCCGGGAAAACTAGGCGTGACAACCTCTGGAGGTGGAGTTGCCGAAGACGACCGACGCCAAGATCCTCCACGAACGTCAGAGGGCCCCCACTCGAACGCTACCAGAGACCGAAACGACGCCCCTGCAGCGGTGTCCAATAACCTAAACGTCGTCATTGACGGCCACGACGCATCAGCACTCGTGGACACCGGAGCAGACTACTCGGTCTTGAGTGGGAGACTCTCCCGATGCCTTCGAAAAGTCACCACGCCGTGGGATGGACCACAAATACGGACCGCCGGAGGGCACCTCATCACACCAGTCGGGAGATGCACTGCTCGCGTCGAGATCCACGGTGAGACGTGCCCTGTGAAGTTCGTCGTTCTGCAAGAGTGTTCGAGGGACGTTATCCTCGGAATGGACTTTCTCTGCGAGTATGGCGCCGTCATCGACCTCGGGGCAAACCAGCTAACGCTGCGAAAGCCTGTTTTACCGCCGGTGGAGACCAACACGACGTCAACCGCGATCAGAGTTATCGTCGACCTTGTGAACTTACCGCCGCGGTCGAGTGTTTTCGTCACCGTCATAACCGACGCAGCCATGCACGGTGAAGCTCTTCTGGAAGGCAGCGTCCAACTGCTCCTTGAGAAAGGAATTGGCGTCGCACGAGGCGTAACGGATCTCCAAGGACGTACAACTGTTCTTGTGACAAGCTTCCGAGAGGAGCCGCTGCACATAACGAAGGGTACCACTGTGGGCCACATTGAGGAGTTTCAGGCGCCAGCCGTGGTCACCGCAATCTCCGAAGAAACCTCGTCGTCACAACAGAACAGCACGCCGCCACCGCCTATCGACATCAACCCCGAGCTCCCAGCTCCTAAGCGCCGGCAACTGGTTGATCTCCTCGCCGAATACAGTGACTGTTTTGCCACGTCGTCGAAAGTTCGCCAAACACCAATGGTGAAACATCGCGTTATTACCGACGACGACGCGCTCCCTGTCCATCAATCACCGTATCGAGTCTCCTTAAAGGAAAGGAAGGTGATTCAGGATCAAGTCCAAGAAATGCTCGACGACGACATCATTCAACCCTCAAGAAGTCCATGGGCGTCCCCAGTCGTCCTTGTAAAGAAGGACGGAACCCTGCGGTTCTGCGTGGACTATCGTCGACTGAACGCTGTGATGAAGGAGGACGTCTATCCGCTCCCCCGCATCGACGATACGTTAGACCGACTGCAGAGCTGCCTCGTCTACCTCGACGACGTCGTGGTATTTTCACGAGATTTCGACGAGCACCTGAAACGACTTCGAGCCGTGCTTCAAGCCATCAAGACCGCCGGCCTGTCACTCAAGCCGACAAAGTGCCGATTCGCCTATGGTGAACTTAAGTTCCTTGGCCACGTCGTGAGCAACAAAGGTGTTCTCCCGGACCCCGAGAAGACCTGCGCCGTAGCTGCACTTACGCCGCCGTCTGACAAGAAGGCAGTGAGAAGATTCCTCGGTCTTTGTGCCTACTACAGACGATTTGTTCGGGACTTCGCCAAGCTGTTTGCACCGCTGACGCACCTCACGAAGGATGCCGTAAAGTTCGAATGGACAGACGAACACCAGCGGTCATTCGATGAGCTGAAACAAAGACTCCAGACGCCCCCGATTCTTGGCCATTTCTACCAGTTCGCTGATACAGAGATCCACACGGACGCCAGTAACACCGGACTTGGTGCGGTGCTAGTTCAAAGGCAGGACAGGGCAGAGCGAGTCATCGCATATGCGAGTCGGATGCTGTCTAAGGCGGAGAGGAACTACTCTACAACTGAAAAGGAGTGCCTTGCTGTCGTCTGGGCAATAACAAAGTTTCGCCCATATCTGTATGGAAGTCCTTTTCGCGTGATCATGGACTACCACTCGCTCTGCTGGCTCGCGAATCTGAAAGACCCCTCCGGACGCCTCGCCCGGTGGAGCCTACGACTGCAGAAGTTCGACATGACCGTTGTGTACAAGTCCGGCCGGAAGCACAATGACGCCGACTGCCTGTCAAGAGCTCCTGTCGAGGCCGGACCTGCCTGTATCGAAGACGACAACGACGACGATGAGTGTTTCCTCGGCGCTTTGGACGTCAGCGACATGGCAGCACTCCAACGAGACGACCCTGAACTGCGAGCGCTCATCGAGCACTTAGAGGGACAAGCGAGTTCGGTTCCCCGTGCTTTCCAAAGAATCCTGCATACATTCTCCATGCGGCAAGGGGTGCTGTACAAGGAGAACTTCGTCAACAACAACACAGCATGGCTGTTGGTTGTTCCTGCCAGCCTTCGAGATGAAATATTCCAAGGATGCCATGACGACCCAACGGCTGGACACCTTGGCTACAGCAGGACGCTCGCCAGGATTCGAGAAAAGTACTACTGGCTGAGGCTACCGAAGACCGTTCACCTATACATTCGATCATGCCACAAGTGCCAGCGACGCAAGAAACCGCCGACGAAGCCGTCAGGACTTCTGCAGTCGATTTCTCCCTGTCTATGCCGTTCCAGCAGATCGGAATGGATTTACTTGGGCCTTTCCCGCCGTCAACGTCGGGAAACCGCTGGATTATCGTCGCCACCGATTATCTCGCGGTACGCCGAGACAAAAGCCCTTCTAGCAGGCACGGCTGTTGAAGTCGCCAAGTTTTTTATCGAGTCCATCGTCCTCCGGCACGGCGCTCCAGAAGTTTTGATTTCAGATCGCGGATCATCGTTCATGGCACAGCTGACCCAAGAAATCCTCCGACTCAGTCACACCAGCAATCGCCGCACCACGGCGTACCACCCACAGACCAACGGGCTGACGGAGAGACTCAACAAGACCATCGCCGACATGATCTCCATGTACGTCGACGTGGAGCACAAGACATGGGACGAGGTGTTGCCGTACGTCACATTTGCCTACAACACGGCCGTACAAGAGACCACCGGAGTGACACCTGTCACGATCTTTCTCGAACGTGGACGAAGGGGGCCGAAGCACCCGCCGAGGAGAGACGACACGCAGCCTGGTTGTGAGGGTGGACGATGACTGGCCGGAGCGCGTGCGCTCAGCGGCGTTTATTAGTGCGGTGAACAATGTTTCCCGCCGAGCGTGGCAGCCG